GGCCCTAGCAACGTAAAATTACAATAGTAAGCATCCGATCAAAAATCACCAGTCATGCAAATAATTAGGAAAATATGACTCTTTACCAAAAGAAAAAAGTCTATATAAATAGATCCATAAATGATAAAGATGATGACATTAGTAGATATGGATCTTAAAATAGCTTATTATACATCTTATAAAATATGTTCAAGAATCTAAAGAAAACCATGAATATGATATAGAAATGAAAAATATACAAAAGACCAGGGAGCATCTAGAAATATAAATAAAAAATGTTTAGAATATACATTGTATAGGAAGAGTAGCAAATTAAACACTGCAGAAAGTGTAACAATATAAACCCTTAAAAATAAGAATAGAAAAAAAAACTTAAAAAAAGAAAAAGAGACTAAGTGAGCAATAAAACAATATCAAGTTGTGTAAGAGACGTAATTAGCATCCCAGAGAGACGATCAAAGAAAAATATTTGAAGAAATAATTATGACTCAGGACCAGCAGTTAGCATAATGGCTTTGTTGCTGGACTCCCATGTTGTCAACCACGGTTCAAGTCCTGGACCCAGTGGCTTAAACTCATGCCGGGCACATGTGCGTGCGTGCCCAAGATCCCAATAGGGAAAATGGAGGAGAGGGATTGCGGCGTGGTCATCCCCTGAGGGGTGATTTCTCGCTTTCTGTCTCTCTGTCTCTGTCTCTCTGGCGAGCGCACGCATCCTGTAGCAAAAACCTAAAAATAAAAAGAATTATGACTGAAATTTTTCTAAATTTAATGAAAGATGTAAACTCACAGGTCAAGGAACTCAATAAATCCCAAGAAACAGAAATATAAAGAAATCATATCAATGCATCATAACCAAACTACTGAAACTCAGAAATGAAGAGAAAAATCTTTTTTTTTTTTTTTTTGGAGAGGTTTTTGCTATAGAGCTTGTGCGCTCACCAGAAAGATAGAGAGAGACAGACAGACAGAAAGTGATGAATCACCCCCCAGGGGGATAGCCACACCACAATCCCTTCTCTTCCATTCTCCTCTCAGGATCTTGGGCACACATGCACACGCACCCAGCATGAGTTTAAGCCACCGGGTCCGGGACTTGAACCGTGGTCACCTACATGGGAGTCCAGCAACATAACCATTACACTAACTGCTGGTCCCAAGAAAAATCTTAAAAGCAGAAAAGAGGAAAGTATACAAAGACCCCTACATATTACATGTAGAAGAGCCACGATAAGAATAACCAGTAACTCCATCTCAAAAAACCTGAAAGTCAAAGTATACTAAATGACAAGTTTAAAATGCTTAAAAGGAGACCAGTAGCTGTCATGGTTGTTAAAATGCTGGACTCTCACATGGTCAACCACGGTTTGAGTCCTGTACTCAGTGGCTTGAAGATCATGCTAGGTGCCTGTGTGTGCATTCCCCAATCCCAAGAGAATGGAGGAGAAGGGATTATAGCATGACCGTCCCTCCTGGGGGGGGGGTGATCTCTCACTTCTCCCTCTCTATGTCTCTCTGTCTCTTTCCAGTGAGCATAGATGCTCTGTGGCTAAACCTAAATAAATAATTAATTAAATGCTTGAAAAAAATTGTCATACCTAGATACCCAGTGAAAATACTTCTTTGAAACTAAGGTAAAATAAAAATTTTCAGGCTAATGAATCCAGCCACTTAAATAAAATAAACAAAATTTGTAAAAGGTAACATATACCAAGACTTACCTAACAAAAAATGTGTACCCTAAATAATCTATCTAACAAAGAAACTGAATTTATAGTTAAAAGCCATCATGCAAAAACAACTCAATGCACAGATGGCTTCACTGAAGAATTTTTCCACACATTTAAGAAAAATATACCAATGTATATATTCTTTCAGAAAATAGAGTAGAGGGACCAGCAGTTAGCATAATGGCTATGTTGCTGAATTTCCATGTAGCTGACCGCGGTTCGAGTCTCAGACCTGGTAGCTTAAACTCACATCAGGTGCGTGTGTGTGCATGCCCAAGATCCCTAGAACAGAATGAAGGAGAAGGGATTGCAGCGTAGCCATCCCCCCCGGAGGGTGATTTCTCACTTTCTATCTTTCTGTCTCTCTGTCTTTCTGGCAAGCACACACGCCCTGTAGCAAAAACCTTGCCAAAAAAAAGAATAGAGTAGAAGGGAATACTTCTCAACACATGGTAAAAAAAAAAGTCAACATTACTGGGAACCAGCAGGTGGTGAGGTGATTAAGGTGCTGGATACTCCCACGTAGCCAGCCATGGTTCAAGTCCTGGACATGGTGGCTTGCTTTCTCACTTTGCCTCTGTGTGTGTGTGGGGGGGGAGGGGCCAAATTAAAAAAAAATAAATGAATAAATAAAATTAAATAATTCTTTAAAAAAAAAAGTCAACATTACTTCCATAACAAAACCAAAAACAACACATGCATGATAGGAAAACTACAGGTGGTAAATACATTTCATATACTAGATGCAAAAATTTTAGCAAATATGCATGTTTGTATCTATATATGTATGTGCATATATAGGGTTGTCTGAAAAGTTCTGATGCATTCTTGCATTAAAAAACAAAAATATATCATAAATTTTCTGATCACCTAAATATATATATATTATATATATGTATATATGCATAATTTTGACATTGTTTAACTTTTTGAATATTAAATCACATTCCTAGTATAAAATCCACTTTGTCATAATTAATTATACAGAAAATTTATAAATAATTATACTTTATCATTAATGTGTAGAGTTTATACTTGAAATGTAACTTTAGTTGACATTTGGAAAATTCAGACAATGTAAAATGGAATAAGAAACTGTGATTCTCTCAATAGGTGAAAAATTCAATACCATTTCTGAGTGAAACAATAAAAAAAACCTCTTGGCAAATAAAGAATAATAAATACCTTCCTCAACCTGATAGAGCACATCTGTCAAAAAAAAAAATCAAAAAACCTACTCGGGGACCAGCAGGTGGCATGGTGGTTAAGGAGCTGGACACTCCCACATGACCGACCAGGGTTCAAGTCCTGAATCTGGTGGCTTGCTTTCTCACTTCCTCTCTCTCTCACTCTCACCCTCTGTCTCTTTCTGGTCAAATAGAAAAATAAGTGAATGAATAAATAAGATACAATAAATATTAAAAAAAAAAAAACATACTGCCATGGTCGTACATAATGGTGACAGACTGAATATTTGCCACTGAAGTCAAGAATAAGGCAAGGATATCTACTTTCAGCATTCATGCAACATTTTATTCAAAGCTCTATTTTTATTTTATATATATATATATATATAAAGTTATATATATAAAAAGTTATATATATGTATATATACACATATATATATATAAAACTTGATTTTTATATTTGTTCATTTTTGTCAGGGACCTTAACAATCTTGTATCATTAGCTCTTAGTATAGTGTCTGGCTCAATAACTACCTATAAAATAAATGAACTTCTCAGTAGTATTGTGTTAGTGAGGTATACTTGGGACAAAAACATTTTTACACCCCTTAATTTTCTTCAATCAATAACTTTCTCTTTTTTTTGGAGAGGTTTTTGCTATAGGGCACGTGCACTCACCAGAAAGAGAGAGACAGAGAGATAGAAAGCAAGAAATCACCTCCCAGAGGGGATGGCCATGCCACAATCCCTTCTCCTCCATTCTCCTCTCAGGATCACGGGCACTCACGCACAGGTGCCCAACATGAGTTTAAGCCACCGTGTCCGGGACTTGAACTGTGGTCGGCTACATGGGAGTTCAGTGACATAGCCATTATGCTAACTGCTGGTCTCAGTCAATAACTTTCTTATCCCAGATTTTCTTGTTATCATATATTTCAAAATGTAATCACCCCTAAAAGAAATTTTTCTATAACTTTTCATTTCCTTATATTAATTTATTCTGCAAGGAAATGCTCTGATAGTTTGACTTGGGTTCATTGATGTCTCCCACCAGGTTGTTGTGTTTTGCTTTTTTTTCCCCAGAAGTCATGAATTTTCTAATAGAATTTTTCCCTTGTATAGTAGACTGCATAGTGTCCCCCCCAAATTTCATATCCTCCAAGAACCTCAGTATATGACCTTATTTCAAAACAGGAATTTTGCAAATGTAATTAGTTAATATGAAACTAAGCTGGATTAAGGTAGACCCTAAGTCCAATGACTAGTGTCTTTATAAGAAAAGTCACACAAAGATAGACATGGTAGGTGGGGAGAGGTCATGTGATATTGAAGGCAGAGGCTGCAATGTTGCACAACCAAGGAACGTCGAGGATTGCTGGGAGTCAGCAAAAGCTAGGAAAAAGCAAGAGCTACTGCCACCTTGATCCTAGAGCCCTAGCCTCCAGTAGAGTGAGAGAATTAATGAGAATTAACTTCTATTACTTTAAATCACCAAGTTTGCAGTAGTTTATTTGGGGAGCCCTTGGAAATTAATACAGGTAACATTTTTATTGCTCTTACAATACTTACATCATATTTGCTGGCTTTTCTTTTATCTTTCTTTTTTTTTTAAGAGGTTTTTGCCTTAGGGCGTGTGCACTCAATGGAGAGAAAGAGACAGAGACAATGAGAAGGAATGTGAGAAATCACTCCCCACCAGGGGGTATGACCATACCACAATTGCTTCTCCCCCATCCTCCTCCCGGGATCTTGGGCACATATGCACAGATGCCCAGCATGAGTTTTGGATTCCCAGGTCCAGGATTTGAACCATGGACAGCCATGTGGGAGTCCATTGACATAACCACTGTGCCATCTGCTGACCCTTTGCTGTTTTTCCTAATACTATTCTACTGGAAAGCACATACTGAAATTATTTTATTTTAGCATTAAATTAGTTGCTGTTCAGAATTGTACTATATTCAAAGCTCATTATTCTCCTTTTCTCTTTCACTTAATATTTTAAATTTCTTTTTCTCAACAATCACGTATATGTCCCACTACTTACTTGGGTGTTTAGATCATTTCTTTTTCATCTTTCTAGGTATGCTGCTATCAAGTCTCGGTTTTCTAAAGAAAATAGAATACCTCACACAGTCAGTCATTTAGTCGGAAGATATCTCTGCCCAACTCCAGGTAAATTGAGTTCAGCCTGCTTATTTTGTTTTAGAAACTAAAATATTATTTATTCTTAATAATAATTTTAAATTTTGGTTCAGTTCAAGTAAGTTTGAATATATAAGGCCTAATTCTCTTTTTAAATTTGCTCTAACTCTTTCTGACCAATAAACAAATTCAGTAAGTGGCTTACATAGAAATTGGAGCTTTGAAAAAATTGAATTACTTATACTTTCAAATACTGGGCTTTAATTTGTAGGTTAATATACAGTTTGAAAATTTAAGTTTCAAAACATAAAAAAACAGGCAAAAGTAAGTATTAGTAAACTGATCCCTGAAACTCTTTGATTCATAGGTATATGCAATAAGACTGAAAAGAAAGGAACAATGTTGGCTTGTTTTTTCGTCCTCTTATAAAAACTGACATTTTTCAAAGGAACAGGTATTAGTTGTTGGGATAAATTGAGGGCATACCTTTTTTTTTTTTTTTTTTTTTAGGGGGGTTTTGGAAAAAGGCGGGGCTGTCCCCCC